ATAAAGTAACTGAGCTGTTCCAGAACTGTCTCGTGGAGTTTCTTGGGCTTAACCTGACAGGGATAACAAATAACAGAAAAGGGAATTACACCAGAGATTTTGCAAAGGATGTTTGAAGAACTGGGAAAGAATGTTCCAGTATCAGTAATTGCATTAGTGACTGCATTGGTTAAAAGAGATCCGGCTACACTTGAAGGGAGAATGGAGGAAAGATTTGCAAATATGGAAGAAAAGATGAATAAAAAGAATCTGTAATACAGATGAGTGGAGAGGTTAAACAAATCAAAGAAAAAATAGAAATTTTGGAAAACAAGACAGAAATAATAAATTGTGAGATGGAAAAAGATGTAGACAATGTGGCACTACTGGAATTAAGAGAGAAAGAATTTTGTTTTAAGACAGAGAGCAGTTCCAAAGGAACCTGGTGAGGATATCAGAGAGAGAGTTGTTGAATTTCTAACAAAGTTTTTGGAATGGGATGAAGAAGATACGGAAGCAGACGTGGACAAGGTATACAGAAGTAACACAAGATATGCAAAATTAAGAAAAGTACCAAGAGATATATTTGTGCACTTTGTCAGGAAGAAGACAAGAGACCAAGTTCAGTCCTAAGTTAAGAATAAATAATTCAGAAGTAGTTTTGCTTAAAGAAATACCTATTAGAATACACCTTTTTGACAGATAAACAGAAAAAGATAAATTCCAGCTTCCAGATGAGGGGAAAATGGCGGATTGATGCGCCTCTGCAAACAGTGGGGGCAATGCTGCGATGAAGACTGGTGATCGGGCATTAAGCCCAGATCACTGGTGCCGCTCTGGACAAGGAGAGGCCAGGAGATTGCTCACTTGTGCTCCAAAAGGCTGCTTCTCACAAGGAGACTCGTAAGATCTGAAGAGATTTTTAGGGCATCCTGTGAATCAGCTCCAGGAGCCATGGGAGAGACAGCAAGCTTACAGCTGTAGCAGAGCCTGCATAAAGACATTGGGTTCACACTCCCCACACACTTTCTTAAACACATTTGGAAGACAATTATCTTAGTTAAAGAGATCTTCAGAGCAGCAGAGCTATTAAACCTGGTGAGTGATCCTTCACCCTGGATTAAAGATAAGAGCAAAGAAACAATTTAAAGGATATAAAAAGTAATCAAAGGCAAAAAGCTTGCCAAAAGTTTAGACTAAGAAAGTTTAAAATGAACCAAGAAGACAGTTGAATTTGGAATTATTTGCTTTAAAGTATTTTTGAAACAATTAAACAATTAATATATATCTCTGTGAGGAAGAGTTTTGTTTGGATTAATTGGAGACAATGATTGGTTAGCTTTGCAAACCAAAAAATAAGGGAAGGTTGCTAAAGACCATCTGACTACAGAACTACGGAGTGTTGAATGGGACTAAAGACTTAACAATCTAGAGAAGGGGGGGAGAAAAAAGTCTTCTTTAACTTTTGTTTCCCCTTTCTCAATTGAAATGGCTGTTACTAAAAAAGTAGTGAAACATACAGAAATGACAGAAAAGGTATTTACACTTGAGACATTTCAAAGGATCTTTGAGGAATTGGAAAAGAATGTTACAGCTACAGGAACAGCATCAATAACTGCATATCTGAATGCATTGGACTTCTGCAAAATGATTTTTGGATTTGCCAACTGAAGAGGGTTGAATATGGGAAGAATTGATCTATGCAATGTAATTTCAAAGGGGGAGGAGTGATATTAAGACTGTAATTGCTGTAAATATTGGAAGTCACTTCTTTAACTTTTTCTTTTCCTTTTTTTCTTTCTGCATTTTCTATTTTTCCTTTCTATTTTTTTTCTCTATTTCTCTTTTTAAATCTCATTTTGTATTATCTTCTATTATTATTAAAACATTTCAATAAAAATTATTTTTAAAAAAGAGGATACTATTCCGCTGGGACAAATTGGAAGGAGTGATTTTAATCTTTAAGCAACAGAGATACTGACTTAATTCAGTCCAAAAGTTGAGAGATTTTTATGAAAAGTTCAAAGAGGAACAGAAGAGATGCAATTGGATAAAAAGGAGGGAACTATACAACAAGACAGCAAAAAGAGCAGGAAGAGATTACTACATTAGGTGCCACAGGTATAGACTTTTCCAAGTTTACAGCATAAACATGGATCTTAGATGCCTAACGTGGAATATAAATGGGGCAAACATTGCACAAAAAATAAAAAAAGATATTTCATTATTTAAAAAAATTAAAACGATGTAATTTGTCTACGGGAAACATATAGAAGAAAAAAAGATTTTAAAAATTTTATTTATAAAAATTTGAGACAATTTATTTTGGCAGGGACAGCCAAGAAAAATTGAGTTGCATTATACATAAATCCACAATTACAACAAAAAATGATAATGTATGATAATCATAAACCATATGTAGGTGCTGAAATTAATTTGAATTAAACTAAGATCATGATATTGGGAATATATACCCCAAATGACAATAAGATTATATTTTTAAGGGACTTACCATAAAATTAATAGACCTGTCTTATGAAAATTGGTGTTTTTGGGGAGATTGGAATGGAATGGTTTGCCCACAAAAAAATAGAACCTCTGTGAAAGGAATTAAATTAACACAAGGTAAATTACCAAAAATATTTTTTGAAATGATGGATAACTTTGAGCTCATAGATATTTGGCAACATAAAAACAGTGATTCTAAAGAATATACATACTACTCTGAAAGACAAAGATTCTTCTCAAGAATGGTTTTGTTTTAGATTTCTAAGAAACTTGCTACACACTTTAACAAAGTGGAAATATTGCCAAAGATTTTTTCATAACCATAACCCAGTGATTCTAACATACAAGAGGAAAGCTAGAACTTGTAGATAGAGGCTAAATGAAACTTTGTTACAAAAAGAATCAATTATTGAGGGCTGTAAAAAGAAATTGAAATAATTTTTTGAGATTAATCTAAATAAAGACATTGATATAAGGAAAGTATGGGATGCTAGTAAAGCCATTATGAGAGGACAATTTATACAGCAAAATAGCAAATTGAAAAGACAAAGAGAAGAGAAGATGCAAAAGATTTTAAAGGAGATAAAAATGAAAGAGGAAGAACTAAAGAAGTCTCTAGGAAGGAAAAGTATCTCACAGCAGATTAAACTTTTACAATGCCAACGTTCTATGTTAACGATTAAAGTATTAAAACAATTAAATCTTCTGTACAGTACCATTAAAGTGGTATTATCCATTGTGGGAGCCAGCACAAAAGTATGTGGATTAAAAGAAGTACTGAATGTGCTTTGGAGCCCTATTTTGCCTCAGCAAGAAACTAAAATAGGGGTTCTGTCTGCACTGAGAGCCCTGGGGAGGAGAGAGGCAGGCTGAAATAGAAAACTGGCACCGAAGGAGCCATTCTCTGCCACTTCTCCCCACTTATCTCCCTACTGCTTATCCTGCTACCCAGAGCAAGGGAAGGGGGAAGACAGAAGAGACCAGTACCCCCCACCTTTCTCCCCCTCCCTGCATCTGTTACTGTAGGTGACAGGCAGGGGAGAAATGGAGGAAAAGCAGATCTTTTCATTCTTTCTTACAGCAATGCAAGCTAAAGGGTTGCTTCTCCTGGGTGAAGGCTATTCCACCCAATTCCACAAGATTGCAAGTGCTGGAGGTACTTGTTCCAGGTTAAAACTCTCTCATTTTGTATCTTTGCTGTTTAGATACCTCTCCCATGGCTTCAGAGCTATGGTGCCAAAGGCACAGGGGGAACCTTTGAAAAAGGTGTCCAGCAATATACTGATAAACCACTACAGCATGGGAGCATTCTAATCACACAGCCAGCAGTCCATCAGAAAAATTCTGGGCATCAAGGTGACACAGATATTCAGAGGTGTTCTGAAAAACCACCCTCCTGTAGGCATAGCCACTAGAGCACAAAAACTATGAATGTCTGTGCTGCAGAGAAAAAGATACTTCAAACAGTATCCCTACTGTCTGAAGTAGACTTTCTGGGGCAAAGCAGGTCTTTTGGGAGATCTGTCACCCCTTCAAAGCTTTCTAGATCAAGTAATAGATTTCACAAATGACTAAAAATCTTTATTGAGGTAGACTGTTGTGACAAACTTGCAAATCTGCCGGTGTTTTCCCTTTCCTCCCATTTGTATCCCAAAGAGGAGTCAGTCTAAGTCTTTTCCTAATGCTTTCTGTTTCCTGGACTCAACACATGGTTTTGCAGATGTTGTTGGAACTGTCTGAATACAGGTAGTCTTTGCTTAATGACCACAATTGGGACCGGAATTTCCATCGCTAAGCAATGCAGTCATAAAGCGAGATGTCACATGACTGCATTGCTTAGCAACCACATTCCCAGCACTCCTAGTTACCAGATCATATGGGTAAAATATTATTTGCAATAGATAAGCCAAAACGTTTAGCTCCATAAATTATTTTATTACTTGCAATTAAAAAATAACTATTTTTCATAAATTTTTATAAATTTCCCATGTTTTTTCTTCATTCTTGCAGGCTTCCTCTAATTTGTTATATGTACTGTGAATCTCTTCCTGTCATTTTGAGCCCAGCTTGACCTAAATCAGTAGAAAATAAATTTAAAAAATGAAAATTATAGGTAAATTCAAATCAAAAGTATCCCACCATCATTTTTAAATTTATATCATCATCAGTGGTAGGCTTCGTAGTCCATATGGACTTCAGTGTCCCTGGACATCTTGTTTTGCAGGCTCCCTAGCCCACTTGAATTTTTTTTAATTGAAAAAATAAACAGGAAGAGGGCATCTTTCAAAGCAAAGTACCTGTGCTCAACCTCTTATCTTTCTTTTATAAGAATGCTTCTAGGCCTTATATAGGCCCATAGGCTTTTGTAGAAAATAAAGATGTTGGGTGACTATGCCAGAACTTTGGGAGTGTGTCTTCCTCCCTTTAAAAAAGAGTGGTAGAGGGAAACCTGGGCTGCTGGAGGGAAAGCAAGGAATTTTTGCTTTTTAATAAATTGATGTTTTGTGATATGGCAGCCATCACTGAATAGGCAAGCTTTCCTGTCCTCCATGCTGCCAATTTGTAGGAACCCATACAACATTTTCATAGAATTCCAAATGTGCTTGCCAATCCACATGGTGATGATAAAGGTAAAAATAAAAAATATGTAAATTTGGAGGGCAAAATGTTAAGACCAGAATCAGTGTTCTACCTCAGTAGAATGTGAAAAAAGGTTTAAACTGAAAATCCAATTTCGATTTTCTTCACATACTGGCCTACATAAAGAGATGTTTTAAAGATATATTTAATTCTAAAAATATTTAAATATTTGTTTTCATATCAGCCATATACTGATCATGGAGTTCAAGCGGCGTATCACCAAGTTTATGCTCCAAGTGCCATAGCCGTGCCAGCCCCTGTGATGCAACCAGAGACTGTTAAAGTAAGACCTCTAATCTTTTTTGTACCAGTGGGTGTATTTTAGAAACCAGGAACAATTCAAGTTAGAAAGATGATTGCAAAAAAGGGGGTGACATAAAATCTTTTCCAAACAAAAAATAGGTGTTGGGTTGGATCCAGATTACATAAACAGAAGGCTCTTGCTATTCAGACATGGTTTTTGATTCATTAGAGGTATCCTGCTAGTAGAAGGAAGAGAAGCATTATGGGTTGGTTCCCCTTCCTCTTCTGTAGCCTTTTTTTAAATACAATTTTATAGGTTTTATAAAGACATTACAATTGATTGCACATAATACATCTATATGTGCACGTGTGTGTGTGTGTGTATACATACATACACACATTATAATGTTGTTACAAGAAATATTATATGCATATAAAAGAAACTAACTGAAAAAGGAAAGAAGAAAAATAAAAATAAAAAATAGATAATTCAGAATCTCACAATTTTTCCTCAGTGTAGAAATTGTTTATGCATTTATACAAATCATTTCAATTCACATTTTAAGTATTGAAATAAATCTAGGCCATATGGAATCATACTGTCCAATATTGTCTCTTCATCAAAACAAAGCTAATTGAAATGCTGAGAGTTGACAGATTTTATTGCACCAACATTTAGAATCTGGTACACAAACATTTTTCCAGAAATACATTATCGCCTGCTTTGTACCAGTCCAGGCATATCTATCCAAAGTTTTTCATAAATTGAGAAATTCCAAGTTTTGGAAATAGAGTGTAACACATAATGACATTTTTGAACCTTTACCTTCTCCCAACAACCCAGCAATATGTTTTAATTTTCCTTCTCTCTTCTGTAACTGCTTTTCAGAGCAGATTTTCAGAGGATGCAAGTTGCTACAGGGGAAAGTGAGAATCTACAAAATATTTCTACATCCTTTATTGTCAGATATATTTCCTTTTTCTTTGCCTCTTTGAAAGACTGGCTATGTGATGCAGAAAAATTATACCACATCATCTGCCTCCTCAGGCAGTGTATAAAACTCCCACAATGGTATCACTAACCCAGACATTTTAAATAAAATTTCTATGCTCTGATTCCTGAGTTTCTGTGCAAGTATATTTTTTCTTTTCATACAGAACAACATCCATCTTTCTGTTGATTCTGATCCTTTCGAATAAATTGTAGCTTTCCAGTGCTGTGCACCAGCTATAAGTATCATCCCATCAAATTTCAGTGATATTTGTCACATCATATTTTCCTTCTGAGCTATGATCTGTGGTTTATTCCACATCCTCTGTGCATTGGTGTAGAAACCTCAGGTTTTGAGCAACACCACCTACTAGCCTTACTGTTGTAGTTTCCTGTGAAATTCTGAGTCCCAACCCTGTCCTCCTGCTCTCTTTGCATTCTGCTTTCTTGACCTCGGTTCTTGGCCTTTATCACCTTCCCCTTTTCTTTTAGTTTAATGCCATCCTGATGAGACTGGCAAGATACGTGCCATACTTCCTTTCCAGTCTTTGAAGATTTAGCCCATCTCTTCCTATATATCCTTTATGAAGGTGGCATAGGCCATTGTTGTAGAATCCAAACCCTTCTTAGCAACATGATCTACAAGGCCAGTTGTTGACTTCCATTATCCTGTGGAGCTGATTTCTTTAAGTGGAGTACAAATCAATTAAGACTTAAATGACAGTGGAAGTACATGTATGGTTGGGAAAAGGGTATGCTGCTGGTCTTCAAGTTAGGCTTAAAGGATATTTCTCATTATATCTTTAGTATGAGTACTTGAGTGCATATATAGAGGATACATGGGCTTATTTCATCTCAGGACACATAGAAGAAAGCTGTAGTTGCATAGGGAATATTTCTTGCTGTACATGTGATGAAATGCTGCAATTTATAGGATAGAATCCTAGGAAGCTGGGTCATACCTTTGTCTCAAGACTAAATTTAGTCCTGTTGAGGTGTAAAGAGATACTAATCTAACTTTTCGGGAATGGGTTGAGAAGAATTAACTTCAAAATCTAGAAGGTACTCTTACACATTTCATAATCAAAAAGATAAAAATTCCAAGAAAAGTAAAAGAGAACCCACTTCCGCTCACAGAAATAAACCAATGAATTCTACTCCTTATTGTTCATCAAAAAATTACTAAATACTGGAGAACTGCTTCAGACTGGTGCATAGGGGTTGATGGGACAAAGGACTGAACATTTCATGATTAGCTTGGGTGATAAAATTAACATCTCAGATTTATAGCTCGTGGATGAAGTATTGCAGTGATTTACATAATAAGATTCATTTAGGGGTATCTGGTACTTATGCACTGTTTTGCAAACAAACACACATTCTCAAAATGGATCCCTTACATTTTTAAATCTATTCATATTGCTCTCCAGATAACTGTTTTGCTAATTTTTTAATATTAACTGAAGACAAAAAAACAAAGAAAAAGAATACACAAAATTCTAAAAGGAGGGGAGAAAGGCTAAAAAAAGAAACAAACATAAACTATGTATATTTACCCACCTACATATATCAATAAATCGATGCCATGATTCATTATAGATCAATTCTGTGAATAGTTGGAATCCTATGGTTGTCTATTTGATGCTGGACAGTAAGTCTTTTGATTGTCTTTCTTTATCCAAAAGTCAAAAATAAAGTGTTAATTTCACTGCACCTCCAACAACATAAATACAGTGAGATTATTTCTAAAATATTATTTCTTGTTGAAAAGGATGTAATCTAATAATCTTTTCAAATGTTTGGGTTTTTTTAATATATCTTTTTTATCAAGTAAGACATGCACACAAAAAAAACAAAAATACATGTACATATGCATATACATACTTAAAGAATTTTTATAAGAATTTAAAAAGCAAAGCAAAAGGTTTTTTAAAAAATTATAAAAAGAACATTCTGGTACCCCCCTGCTCTTTCTCCCCCCCATCCCCCCGTTTCCATCCCCTAGCTACTAAATGAATATTTTTATACTTTACTGTTTAAATTTAGTTAGATTTCTGCTCTAACTGCCATAACCATGACATATGGTAAAGCATTCCTTCCTTTTTGTGGCATTTCCAACATTTATTGTTGTATAATATATCCATCTTGGCAATTGCTGACAGAGTTGTATGCCGTCTGCAGAACATTTTGTACCAATTTTCCCTCAGGTTGTGGCTTGGTGTAAATATTACTGATTTTTTCCCATAAATCTTATTATTAATGCTTCTTTGAAATTTTGCATCCTTTTTATCATACAGTTCTTTATTTGTTCTGTCTCTGTATCATATTTAAGTAGCAGTTTGTTACTTAATACATTATTTTGATTCTGTATAAGTGTTTCAACTTCTGTCATCTTTCTTAGGGTCCCTTCTTTTTCTTTACAATCACTTTTTATTTTTCCAGTTATTCGCAAATACATTAACCATGATAGATTTCTTCTTTCATTAAGCAATTCTTATAATGTCTTTAGTCTGCTCCTTGAGTCCAGATGTCTCATGTTGGCATATGTAATCAGATCTTTCTTGCTGTAATTGTCTTTGAAATAAAAAGCGTTTGATGATGGTGCTAGTGGTGAAATCATTGGATTTATCCTTGCTTTTAAGGAATTCCAATTTTTTAGTAGACTTTCTCTTATAATATGTCCCTTCAGATTCTTGTCTCTTTTGTTTCTTTATACCATTAGTATCTGAAGCCTATTGGCTAAGCTTGTTCTTTCTATAATTGATATTCTACTATTTGGAAATTTTATCTGTTCTGTTATCCATGATAGACAGCTTGCTCTAGAGTATAATCAGAGATTGGGAAAAGCTAATCTGCCTCTCTATTTTACATCTTGCAGAGTTTTAAATTTTAGTTTTTTCCCCATTCCATATAAATCTATTAATTGTTCTTCGCCAATCCTGCATTTTTTGTCGAGAATTTGAATTGGTGCTATTTGAAATAAGAAGTTTATCTTGGGTATGACGTTCATTTTTATCGACATTATACGTCCTATCCAGGAAAGTTTTAAGATATTACACCTTTCAAGGTCTTGTTTTCTTTCCATAATTTATTGTAATTGTTTTGAAATATGACTTTGTGGCATCCTGTCAAGTAAAGTCCTAAATGTTTCACTGGAGCTTTTGTTATCTCACAGCCAGTCTTTTTTTTCCCCCAAAATTTTCTTCCTCAGAAGGTAGGTACCTTGCTATTATTTTTTTTTCATTGATTTTGTATCTGAAAAAGCTACCAAAATCTTTGATTACTTTCATCAAGGGCTGTATGGAACTTTGTGGTTTTGTGATTGCTAATACTACATCATCTGCATAACATTTTCTCTTGTATTCCTCTTCTTGAATTATGATCCCAATTATTGGTTTGTTTGTTTATTTATTATCCTGTTGGCCAACATTTACAGAGCAATTACAAATGGTAAAGGGGAGCGTGAACATCCTTCCGTTGTGCCTTTGCTAATTGAAAAGCTTGCAGAGGGTGTTCCATTCACTGTCATCTTTGCTGTTTGCCATCCAAGTTTTAAATTTTTTCCAGGATTCATTTTAAGAGCTCTAATAAAAAAGATAAGTGTTATTACATTCTTCATTAGTTTGTTTTCTTTGTAAATTACTTATTTCTGCAAGATTGAATAAAGCTAATAAAAATAGAGTAACTAGTCTCTGTAACACACAGCTAAAATGATAATGGCTTAATTCAGTTTGACAAATTATAAATAGACTAATGTGCCAGGATTCATATTATTTTTGTTAGTAGTTTATTGGGATAGAGAAATGAATTTAGTTAATGGGATTGTTTACATGTTGTACAATAATTTCTTTTGAGGCTATATTTGTATTTGCTCATTTTCCTTTTGGGATTTTCCTTTTTTTTTTTTTTTAGTTAAATATATTTAGCAGAATTTCATGCTTTTGTTTAAAGTGTTTTACAATATACTGCTGTGTGCTTTTGTTTTTGTTTTTTGTTTTAGGAAGCTAGGATACATTCTGTCAGAAGAAATTTTTCTCATCCTTCATCTATGAGCTTGAAGCCTCGATATGCACGAACTCCTCATTTTCACCCTAGAAAAGATTACAGATCAGATGACACTATGCTCAGTACCTCTTCTTCTACAGACTCTGTTAAATAAAATGTTAGGTATCTACCAAATATGTTAACTCTTAAAGGTATGTAATTTTGTAGCATCTTATATTTGCTGAATACAAAATTCCTCACTTTTGTAAGGGTACTAAAAAAACCCTTGCTCTTATGAACATAAAGTTAGTAAACATAAACTGCAGGATAAAAATCATGGTTACTGTTATCAATTGGTATACTATGGTGACACAGACCAGTAATTTGTAATATGCAGACTGTGCATATATTGCTTATTTTAAACAATAAATTTTAAAACCTGCATCTTTGTATTATAAGACAAGCCTAGCATTCATCTTCATCTGATAAATTACAAGGGTGATCTATTAAAACAGCAAAAACTATTTTTGTTAGACTGAAATCCAATTAATATAAAATTCACATTATTTTATCCAACCTTTCATTTCATTTCAATTTATTTTATATAATTTGATAAAAATCCTTTTTACAGTTTACTGAAGTTAATTTCAGTGAATTAGGGGATAATTTAAGATTTTTAAAGTCCTTTTTAAAAATTATAGGACTGCCTGCTTACAGTCCTATACGTAACTTTCTGATTTTTGTGGCTGATGCTTTTCTTAAAATACTAAACTTTATACGTCTATGTCTTTAGTTTAATGTTGAAAATTACATCTTATGCATCAATAATACAGTATACACTTACATGTAGCCTTTGCCCTCTTTGAGTGCAGGATCAAATTTAATCTCTGCCTGTATCATGTCCAGAGGAGAAATACTATATCCCTCTACACTACACTACACAGATCACAAAACTTTGCTTATTCCCTTTTCTTCTAAGGTTTTGTTACAATCTCAAACTTAATGTAGCAGAATAAATAAGCATGAAACACTTAACTGCTGTAGAAGCCCATTTTGATTAACAGTTTTAATAATTTCTCCATTATTTTCCAATTTTAACTGTGAAACACGTTTTCATATTTTAATTTGTTTACAGTACTCAGCTTTAAAGACCTTTTTTGTGGTTGGAGGATTGTTTTATTTATTTATTTTTTTGCTAGTAACATTTTTGTAGGGACAGTGTTATAACAGTGGTAGTTATGCCAGCAATCTTTAAATAATTTATTTTGAAATTCCCAGTGTGTTTAACATTATATTGGACACATATATATCCCATATAGCTGGAGTTATTTAGTATATATTCAGTCTCTTACACTAGTTTTTCTAGTAACATTCATTTTTAGGTCTTTAAATAGGTGTGCACCTTTATGAAAAAAGATCAACTGCAAAAGTATTTTATACCTTTTGTATAAAAGTTTATGATAACAGATCTTAATAGTTTTATGTCATATATAAATAATTTGAATTGTTGAAAATATCAGAACAAATGTTCCTGTTTTTATACTTGCAGAGGTTTTAAAATATATATAAAGATGTTGACATCTCTTGAAACTGCTTTATATATGTGAAAGGATTTCAGTTGTAAATATTCTTGTAAACAATACAGAAATAGCCAGGAAAAGGCCATGTGTTCTGTTATTATGGTCTTATTACTATCATGAAACATCCAAGTAGTCAGGGTTAATTTTAAATCCTTTGCTTGGGTTCCCATTTTTACTTTGTATAATATAAAAATAAAATGTTGATTTCCTGAAAATATTTCAGAATATCCAAGGAAGCCCTTGGTAAACAACATATTTGAAATCCTTTATTCTAAATGCTTGTGTTAAAGTTATCAATATGTCTATCAGGTAAGATGATACATATTTCCCATTTTAGTTAATTCCACCTAAAAGAACAGTAAAAACATCAGGATTGTTTCATATTTGGCCAAAAATCTATTTCATGCCAACAAATATAATAACAGAATTAATTAATAAGCAGGTCCCAAATATTTTAAGGGGATTATTTCCCAAAATGATAAAACTGCCTTCTTTAGTCTGGTTCTATAATGGGCTGTCACAATTCTTGTCAAAATGCATGAGTTTTTTCATACACTTCACACATCACAGAGCTTGGAATACTATCTGGGCAAAACTATTACTGTTCTATCAGTTTCTTATTATGTTTCTCCATAGAAAGCAGTAGCTCCTGAGTGTGTTTCTTATTCAGACATCTGTGTGCTACATGAAAGACTATATTTGTAATATTTTAATACACTAGACTTATATTTTTCTGTTCAAACGTTTAGTAAGAATACAAAGCAGAATCATATTAGCCATAGATTTAGAAGTAATTTATTTAAATAATATGTTAATATGATCAGAACTCCAAACATATTTTGAGAAAGAGTGCTATAATGTTGAATAAACAGGATCTTCCTGTTACTGGAAAAACTGCCTGTTTTGAAATTTTGAAAAAAAATATAAACACCAAAATTTTATCTTGTGAACCAGAAAAAAAAGTTCAGTTTAATAATAAATGATTTGACCTACCACTTCAGTTTTTCTTTATCCTAAATATCTGTATCCTAAAAAAAAAATCCACTTGATAAATTACTCAACAAAGTACATTCTACCTAAACCTTAAGTAACAGAACACATGGCTTTGCAAATATATATATTTACCTGTATCTTAGCATAGTTTTACAGTGCAAGTTTATAGTAATACATGGTTGTAAGTGTTAAGTAAAATAAAATGGTAATTTCAGGGATTTAGAATAATTTTCATAGTGTGGCAGCTTTAAAAAAATAAATGTGACAAGCTGCTTCAATAAAAGATATGTATATGTCTACTATGGAAATTTATTTTTATATATATCAATTCTTTATTATTGTGCAAGTCTAATTTTAAACAGAATGATTTCATGTATGAAACATAGCAAGAGTATTATCTTGTTTTGAGCTTCAGAACAAGAAAGTTTTTCTCAACATGGTTGATACAACATTCTAAAAATACTCTAACATGGCAGGTGCAAGTGGGCTCCATGATGGTATTTTATGACATAGATATTTTCCCAGGAATGTGTACACCATCATAAGCTGTTCATAAAGATGCAAATCATAAGCAATATTTTTTTTAAAAATGTTTGCCTTGCCATACAAATAATATTATACCTAAACTGATAAAGTGCCTTCATTGCACTACAGTGTATGCATTTGCTATAATTACTAGAGCCTTAAATGAGTTAATATGAATGTACAGAAAAATGTTTTATCAGTATTCACAGTTTTGTAAATCTATTAACTGAACATTTTCTGATTAAACTATGTAGCCAGTGGTCAATTTCAGGCATGAACATAGTGCACAGACAATTACAGTGTGCTTTTTTATCTTTCCAAACAGACATAGTCCTGAGCATTATATACTAAAGCAACAGGGGGAGCTAAGCAGGTTTATATATGGAAGATGTGCACAGACTTATTAAACCTGTTTTTGTACACACAGGAGTAGAAGTAGTTCTGTTAGTAAATAAGAGGTCTTTGTGCAGGCATGCTAAACCTATACTGGACTGGATTGTTCCATGAATGTATAATAAATACAGAGTAACAAATCAGTTCCCACAGATTGTATCTTTTAATTAAAGTGGTTTTGTAATGAAGTTTCATCTCAATAAAGCATTCTTTATTTACTGTTGGTGATTTTTTTAAAAGAAAAAAAATGCATAAAATAAAACAAAAGCCAGTTATGGGAATTTTATATTATTTGAGTATGAAAAAGCAGAATCCAGCACAGGGGCATAGTTGACAGCAAGAAATCCTGGAATAATTTGGCTTTTAACACCTCCTTCGAGAAGCATTGAGCAAGGAAAGCAAATAATAGTCATTACACCTTTCCTAGATATTCTTCATTGTGGTCTCTGATTCACAATTCTGAGTTATATGCTTGTGCCACGTTCCATTCAGAACGTCCTAGAGCTTGGAAACATTTGGCTACACCATGCTCTCCATGCATACCTCATGACTAGGTGTAGCTCACACCAAATTCCTTCAGTCTGTTTTCAGCTACAACAGCATTAACATTTACCCTGATTTCCTTTAAATGCTGTTTTATTTAAACTTCATGTTATTTTTTAAGCTTGTCTTAGCTTGTCTTCAAACAAATGAAAACATGTTGTTGTTTGAAAATTGTTAGTCAAGAAACCCTTGTCTTCCTTCACAATCTATTCAGCCTTCACCCTTATTGCCTTAAAGGTCACATTTCACAAGTATCAGCGTTGCAGGAGAAAACTTACCCTAAGAAACAGACATTAAACTGTCTTTTTATTTTGGAGAAGGTCACAGAATAGACTCTTGAGGACTACCAGTCATTTACCAGACAGACTCATTGCAATTGGCCTGGGAACAAGCTCTTGACTTTAAAGTTATTGTCTTATTCCAGAGTTCCCACCGTGTCCTAAAAATTGTATGGATGCTCCCTCAGCTCTTTAGGACTTAGATCAAATTCTCTGCCTTCTGCAGAGAATCCCTAAGTCTTAACTGAACCTTCATTGGCCCAGAGGAAATTGCCCAGTAAGGGCTCAAAACCTAGCTAGATGGCTGCCTGATTCCAACAAGGGGGGGGGGGAGATAAAGGCAGCTCCCGCAGCCTTGAGTTCCTCACCATAACAGTCTTCTCATTTCCACTGAAGTTAGTTCCATAGGTTCCAATCTATAGTGTCCAATCTTCATCAGGTACTCTTCAGACACATCAGTTGAAATCAGAGAAAAGATTCAGGTAATGCTGGACAGTTGGTAATGTTGCTATTCTGTCTTCGGGATTTCTATCTTTTAAAACATTCCTTTGAGATAGGTCAAAGCCTCTTGCCTAAAGATCAGCGTGTTTCCCTCAAGTCAATATCTGCAGAGGCCTCTTGACCATGGCCAGTGAGCAAAGAGATCACCCCATTTGTTGCTTAATAAACTGCAGGCCTATCTCTACAAAGCTGGTGTCAGCCCTTAGAGATAAGTGAGATTAAGAAGCAGGCAGGACAGGGATATCAGGAATGTATTGTGGTAGAGCAGAATTAACAGAATCTTGAAAATCTATCACATCTCTATGCCCCCTCTTACACCAAACAAAAGTTGGGGTTATCTTGATTTTCTTTCTCAGGACTGAGTAATCTTTTCTGAAAGTCTCCCCTTAATGGTTTGCTCACTCCTCCAATCCCAAGGCCAGATCTACATTCCTTCACAACTAATGATTATGCCATTGATTCATCCCTGGTGTGTCCAATATGCCCTTCAGTATTGTTACCCAATCCCCAGTTTTCCTTCAGAAGGCCTCTATTCCTACAGCAAACAAACTGATAGAACGGCACACGCTCTTGGTCTTGAGGTTCAGCAGCCTGAGGACCTGGTCCATCATTTAGTCCAAGATGTTTCACCAGTGTTCATCCCTTTCCTCCAGTCTTACTGAAGAAAACAAGAGACTTCTGGGCCAAGCCAGTTACTGTGCCATCAACCTCTTGTCTCAGTGAAAGAAGAGCAAGTTATTAAGTTGGGATGTTTAATATATTAATATTATAATAATATAATATAGTATATAATATATATAATAACATATGGTATTATATTAATAACAGTCTATGCTGATGGATGAAAGGCACCAAAAAATGAACAATCTTGGATATAAACTAGATTCCTCAGGAGCCTTTTCCTCCAAATTTCCAAATATGTAAAGTTAAATACCATCATTTCTTGTGGGAGATATGTCTCTTCTCTATCTCGTTTGCTAGTGGACCACAGGCAGATAGTCCAGGTTTTCTCAGGAGGATCAGCAAAATAGTCATGGAATGTTCTCCCTAAGGAAGAACATTTGTCTCTCATTCTCCCAGTATATAGGAAGATGTTAAAAACACATCTCTTTCACCAAGCTTTTAATTATTTATTTTAATGTCTGATTTAGTTTGGGTTTTAATTTTCATGTTATTAATTTTATTTGATATTTTCTATTTTGTTATTGTTCTAAACTGCTTTGAGTTTTGAAATAAACAGAAATGTTGGGTATAAATTCAAAAGTAGAATTTTTAAAATGCTAAGCAAGAGTTGAATGTTTCATTAATAACAATCCTTTGAGGTAGATTGGGCTGGCCCAAAGTCACCTATTGAGTGGCTGGCCCAAAGTCACCTATTGAACCTCCGTGGCGGAGGGTGGATCGGAACTTGGATCTCCCCTGTGACAGTCCAATTCCCTTGCCAGAACTTTATTGGGCAGCCCTGTGTGTTCAGTCTTCCCCATTTATCCAACCCTATAGACTGAATTTGCCCTCTGATGGAAACACTAGAGAAATGTCTTCTGTCATTTTGTAAGAACCATACTAAGTAATTCATGAATTACAAAGACCACCATGAAAAATAATTGGTTAGTTACCTCTACCTGCATTTCTTTGAGTGGTCACTTGTGACCAAACACAACCCACCTCATAGCCCACTAGGTATCAGGTGACTTTACCATTCAGGTCTTTTATATCAGTTTTGACAGGGTCTCTCTCTCTCTCTCTCTCTCTCTCTCTCTCTCCCCCCCCCCCTCCC